CCATTGGGGTCTATATTGGGGCCCCCTGATATGGGAAACTACCATATACCCTCCAAACCCTTGCATAAACCCAGTTTCCATTTTGTTTTGCATGTTCTTTTCCATTTGATTCTCCATTATAAGGGGATAATATCCCTATATACCCCTTTAAAGGGACCTAGGGTTTCCATTTCATTCTCCATTTTCTTGTCCATTTGATTCTCCATTATTAAGGGGCATACTAACTTTGGCCCTAAACAATCAGCCATGCGCCTTGAAGGCCTCTTTCACCGGATCGAAGTTCCTAAGAAAACGTGGGTCCCCCTAATTCCCCCGCCAGAAACAAAGAAAAGTTGCAATCAAGCATGTATCAGGGGGCTAGCAAGAACTTCTAGCTTTGCCTTTACTGCTGTTGCGTTAGGGTTTCGAATCTAGCTGTAGTATTCCAGACTACTCATCATCCATGTGCTGCGCCGAAGAAGCAGAGCAGAAGAACCAAAATGTGTATGCGCGAAAAAATGGATGCATCCTGTCTATCCTCTGACCCAAAAGGCTACTGAAATACCATCTCAGTAGCCAACGTCCTTGAAAAACCTCCTACCAACCTTCATGGGGTCTAAGGGTTTAGGGCTAAAAATAGCAGACATAGCCAGAAATAAGGTACCTTCCGCAGGGCTCAGGCACGCTACACCCATACACATATATGTACAGTGTGAATACAGATTTGTATGCGTATGTAGATGCCCCTCCATAACCCTGCACAAACCTGTATACCCCTACCTATAACATATATATATATATATATTTACATACATATACATAGCTAGATATAGACATGAATACGGTATAGAACCCCTAAACCTTGAAACCCTCAAAGCCCTGAACCTTATACCCCTGTAAAGCCCCTTCTCCCGAGGTCCTAAGCCTATATACTTATCCTGTAGAACCCTTAACTCTAAGCCCCTAAACCCCTGCATAACCCTTAACGGCCAAGCCGCGTCAGCTGATTGTCTTTCAGGAGGGCGTAGAGCTCCTGAACTGGAAATTTCCGGGATGAGTTTAGGGTTCAGGGAGGGTTTAGGGTTTAGGGAGGGCTTCTTGGTTTAGGGTGTAGGGCTTCGTGGTTTAGGGTTTGGGCTTGGGGACTAGGGCCCCGGGTTCATGGTCTGGGAATTGGGACTAAGACTTCGGGGGTTAAGGCTTGGGGTGCAGCGCTTGAGGTTTAGGGCTTCAAGGTTTAGACCTCACAGCCCAGACCCCACTTAGAGGCGCCAAAAATGAAACCCAGCGAACTGGATGATGCCACTACAACATATCGAGCAACTAGGGGATTTGCGGAAGTTTTCATTTAGGATTCCTGGCCCTCAATCTTTAAGGTCCAGGGTTTACGGTTAAGCATTATATGGGCGTGTAACAGGAAAGTTTAGAATTGGGGCTTAAGACGTGGGGCTGGGCTACATGGATGTAGGGTCTAGCTTAAACACCGAGCCCCTAAACCTTATAGGTTTTAGGGCTTCAGGTTTCCAAGCACTCAGATCTCTGGTCCCTCAAAGTAGGGTGAATGGGACACTCAAGGTAAGATAGCTTGGAATCAGTAGAATCCTTAGCCCCGCAGCCCAAACGTGATCCCCATTTAATCTTAAGGTCCTAAGGTGCCCCTGCTTTGAGAACCCCTCAGCACGATTTTGCCTTGTGCGTTTCAGCAGCCAGCCTGCAACAAAGAGTCGTGACGAACCCACAACGGTATTTGTGGTAACCCCATGCGTTCAATCCTGAGGTCCCTCAAATGAAGTAGAATCTAGGCTGACGTAAAACCATCAGGCAACACCGCCTCCATACAGGATCCGATCCCCTTCAGCTGCACTTGAACCTCTCAATTAATTACCGCCCAATGGGGGGGGGGGGTAAGTATATCATGTTATATCATACTACAAACTACTAAATCATGAAGGAAAGCATGAAGGACAATACTGGAACTTCTGCAGACTTCTACATTACAAGCTACATGATCTGAGTGAAGCACATCGAAGGTGATCTCCGGCTGATTATTCCTCAGCGGTTGACGAAACCCCGCTTGCTGCAGGAGTAGGTTCTTGGGTTGAGTGCTTTCGGGCTTGGGGTTCAGTCCCCGAACAAAAATGGAACTGAAGCCCTAAACCCTCAACCCTAAACCCTGAACCCTAAGACCCTAAACCCAAAATAAAATTGTACTATTGATAGAAGCTCCTTTTTGGGATCCGTGCTCGTTTGGGCGAAGGGGAGGGCCTGGATTCGCTTGAAAAGTCAGGACGACTCAACTCGTCATCGTATGGGGTTCCCAAAAGGAGGGCTGCCTTTTGGCAGTACCCATTGTAAGGATTTGAATATTTTGAGGCCTAAATTGGTCCCTATTTGTGTAGAAACTACCCTATATACAAAATTGTTGGCTCAAGTAAACCATGAATCCAGAGTCGGATCGCTACCACCTGACTTCGTAACTTGACAACCCCAACTGTCCACGATAGGGAGAACAAATAATACATCTGAAGGCACTCTTGGCAGAAGTTTGGAGTCGGCTCTTCTTTCACCGCCCTACTTCAGGTTCAGGCGATCAGGGGCGTGCCATAGAACTTGCGACCAACACACCACTCAGAGTAGCTGAAGGAGCTGATAAGGTCTAACTGTCACGCTCAGGACATTGCATGAGAGGGCCTCTGTCGTGACAGCGGAGCCTGCATCTGCAACTAGTGGTGATTCTGCTCCGCCACAAGATTCCCTCTAAACTCCGCTAGGCACTCTCATTTTCATTTCATGCGAGTGCTTTGCATGCAGCGCCTCTCGCACTTGCAGGCCCTTTGCTGCATCATCCATACCATATGTTGTATCGCGACTGGCATGAGAGAAAATTTGCGAGTTCCAAATACTCAGGGAAGAGCCCATGGATAAGCCTTACTGAACCCTAAAGCCTAAACCCTAAATTGGCCTAAGGCAACGAGAACTGGGACTATACGCTAGAGAACCTTTCACCCAATAACATAACCCAAAACCCTAAACTTAAATCCTGGAACACATTTTCTTGAGCCTAGCAGGACGAGCTGCAGCAGGAATTTCACCTCTCGCGTGGTAATGTCCTCGCAGAGTTTTAATCGGCTCACAAATCTTGCAGGCTTCTTCACCTCACTGGTTGGGGACTGCCCCCATCCAGTACCTGTCTATACTAAGTAAGGGTAAGATGAAAGGTTTTGTGATAATTTAGATATTCACCAGCTGACCCTCAAACATTAAACATGTAAACATGCTATGTGGGAGCCCCAGTAACAAGAGGCCACCTGCGGGCTTCTTTACACCAAAGCCAACACGGTAGCTTCCAAGAAGTCGGCTGACCCCAATATAGATCCCAAAATGCTGTAATCCTTATTATGAGGGCCTTGAACAAGTATACCGTACCCATTTTTGGGAAAGCCTAGACCCGAAAGCCTAAGCAGTACTTTCCACTTTGTTTTCCATTCTCCCAATGTTAGCCCCAATTTTCAAAACACCCTATACCGGGTTTAACGCTTGAGGCATGAAAGGCTGTATCCTTTGTCCCAAGTATGGGCCCTGAATTAGGTTTAGGGGCTTAATGAAATGGAGAACGCTTATATATGATTAAGGGCATAGACTAGGGGTCCATAGTTCGAACAGTAGATATAAGGTTCGAGGGCTTTACGGTTTTAGAGCACAGGGTTCAGTACCACGTACCGAGTAGCTAGCAAAGACATCGGGCCCGAACTTGTTCCTGTATGGGTGCTCCGGATAAGTGTGCACTGCTTGGGTACTTAGTACTTGGGGCTAGGGAATACTAGGGCCGCTTACCGTTGGCTCCATCCAATTCGCCGGGTGTCTCATCAAGAGTAGATAATCAGTATTGCACAGGGTCCCCAACAGGGCGCAGACTTTGGATAACTACCAACTGATAAAGACTGTCAAAGAACATCGGGATGTTAGTCCCGTAGTATGCAGGTGGGACATCAATAAACGTAATGTTAGATGAACTGTTGATCTGCGTGTCAGGACAGCTCCGAAATAGCGTCAGCCATTATGTGGCCTCCTGCAATGAGCCAATCTAAAATGCAATCCAGCCAAGTCTTTGGCACCTCCACTAAACTTCAGGCCACACGAGTGGCAGGACTTTTTGAACCTGTGTACGTCTCCAGGAGCCTTTCAGAATTCCGCATCCCCCGCTTGGTGCTGCTGAGGCAAAGAGGCACTATGGGCATGATGTGTCCAACTTTCTTCAATCGGTCTCATTGCACATTGGAGCCTCCCCGTAGTACCTCCTATTAAGTCTTCGTAAACATGTATCAATCAAACTTAAACTGTGGATGCTTCAGAAACTATTTACCACGCCTTTGGTATCTACCAGTGTTGCCTGTCAGCATCAAATTGCTACTCAGTGTTGCAGCGCCGGGTCCTTGTAGAACGTCTGTAGGCGACGTTTGATTTCAGACATTGTGAGCTTGCCTTTGCCTTGGAAGTAACATGTAGCGAGTCGTGTGAACTTCATACTGAGTCCATGACGAGCTCTTGTCGTTACAACGTCTGTTCTTACCATTACTACTACACGCAAGAGCCTAAAACCCTAAAACCGTGAACCCTGGCCCTAAACATGTGCACGACCACTAGCTCTCGCAAGTCCACAAACCAATCCCAATCAGGTTTGAGCACGCAGTTCCTCCCTCCATTCTTATTTATGATAAATAAACCCCGCGTCCCCTCATAAATATTCCTGATACGTATAATTAAACTATGGCGGGGGAACATGTTTCATTGCGGGAGGGCAGGATCTTTAGAGATTAGGGCTTGTAGTTGTGAAATGCCACGCTTTAAGTCTACCATGCGTGACAGATACAAATCCCGAGCCGCGCGTGCTTCAGCCCCGGACACACTGCGGAGCACAGGCATTGGCGCGTATCGAAATCAGTTCGAGATCATGACCATCAACTTCCGGGCATGCAGCACTCTGAACAGTGGGGATAATGCACAGAAGGATCTACAGCAAAATCTTGGCTTGGTTTCTAAGTGTTTCCATTCTGAGCAGGCCACCCACTTACAGAACCTCCTCCAAATCTTTACAATGGATGGCCCCCAAGAACAAACACATTTGCTAATGCCAAATGGAGGATTCCAAAAGCTCGGCCTCCTTTTTTTGAGAGTCCCTATCATATGGCTTCTAATGTTTTTACAGTATGGGTACCCACTTGTGCAAACACAGACGTGCAGCCGCGCAGCCGCTGGTATCGAAAAACTCCCATGCAACCTGTTCGGATCACAATTCTCTTCGGTTTTGATGCAAGGCTTTTCAAGCGGTCCGTGTTTGAGGTGCTTGCTTCGGGGTTTCGTGCTTAGCTCTGAAGGCTAGAAATTCTAGAGCATATAGTCCCCCTTACGTAGATAGAATATGGCTTTGGGTATATGATCACAAGAGCCCCATACTCTATGTACTTAAGGGGGACTATATTCCTTTGCCAGTCTTGCTGGGGCGGGTGTGGGCCGGTGTCCTAGAAACCCCATATGATCGCTTCGTGAAACCCTAAACCGCCCTAAACCCTGGCAAAGTACCTGGTTTGGTAAGGGATGGCTAAGGCTTCATTTGAAAAACACCCTAAATCCTAAATCCTGAATATTCCTTCTACTATCATATAATAGGACTAGTTATCTCTAAGGGACTATCTATTTCTCGGGGGGTAGGAGGTGTTTAACAGTAGGAGGATGTGACTATCTTGCAGAAGCTCCTTGCAGCTCGACAGTGTCGTGTTGTGCGTCTTTTGCCTTGCTTCTGACCCGAAGGGTCCAAGTACCTAATAATCATATACTTACCCAATACCTGTACTATAAGTACTATTACCCAAATTCCCAAAGTACCCAATTATTGGGTACATGGACCCTTAGGGTGATCAGCAGGGATGAAATGACTTGAAGCGACCATGGAAGCTAGTATAATGGAGAATCGAATGGAACGTGAATTCCAAACTGTTGTGTTATACACGGATCCCGCCAGGATACAGGGGAACGGAAAAGGCAGCGGAAATCGCTAAAGAAGCGTTATGCTATATGGACCCATTGCCTCATTCCTTTCCAACCAGAGGCCAGTTCCGGAGGCAACATCCGTAACTGCCCTACTTATAATGCCCCTATAAGTCCTTTAAAGGGCCCTACTTACACAACTACAAACCCTTTAAAGGGCCAGTCCGCCTTAATTTAGTATGTATGTAGTTATAGGCCCAAAGCCGTAAACCTCATATACCCTAAACCCGAAAAACCTAAACGCTATATACCCACCCTAGACCCTAAATCCTAAGCTCTAAACCCTAAGTCCTAAACCCGAAACCCCTCGAAGCCTGGCAAAGACCCCCTGGCTGGAGCGAGCCTTGAGCTCGTCCTCTGTGATTAGAATGCCACCCTTCCTGGCTGCTTTTGCCCCAATTGGGCTATGGTGGGTATATAGGGTTGGGATTCTATAGGGATAATGGAAAAATGGAAGCTACCATTTAGGGTTTAGGGTTCAGGGTTTAGGATTTAGGGTTTGGGGTTTAGGGTTTGGGGCCCTACCCCAAGGCAGCTTTGTGGGTTTAGGGCTGTAGTGGTTGTGGGTTCAGGGGGTAAGGGGGTTAGGGGGCTTGGGATTCAGGAGTTAAGGTTTGTGGTTTAGGGAGCTTAGGGAATTTAGTGATTTAGGCCGGGCCCTTGAAGTAGATAGAATATGGAATTGCATAATATCATACACAAATGCCTCCAAGTACACCATATTCTGTCTACTTAAGAGGGACTATAGATAATTGCTTATATCATTTTCAGATCTATCTGAGGTATCCACTCCTATAATCATACCAGGAATCTAGGACCACGCCATTGGTTTTACATCTAGCCCCATGTAGAGGTATGGTTGAGGCCCTGAGATTGGAGGTGAAGGACTGCTAATGGTTTTAAAGTAGGCTGCTAAGGTTCAGGGTTAACCCAGACCCCTTTTTGATAGCATATTGTAGTGTAGTATATTACGGGATATTATAATGTATCATAGGGTAATGTAGACCCGTGATGAATAAACACCCCCCCTTGATAGGGATCATAATAGGGATCCAAATATGAAGGCCCTTATAAGGAGGGGGTGTATGAATCAGGGGTCTACATTAGTCTGCTTAGGATTTAGAGATCTTGGGTGGCCTTTTGACCTTTGGAGCCCTTTGAACAATGTTAGGACAGAAGGTCCTTCTGAAGCCCATATATGGGAAAATGAAAAATGTTCGTCGCAAAGACCAACCCAAAGATTGAATTTGCGCTGAGCATTGCTTGTCAAATTAGCGTGAGGACAAATCCAGTCATGGTTGCTTTCCGCCTATGATACTGCAAGATACACATTGCTGCATGACCCTTTTTAATGGCAATAATGTGGTCTCTCAAACTGGCGTGGGGGGAGGAATGGTTATGACAAGGAGAAATAGCTTGGACTCACGACTAGCAAGCACCATTAAATGGGTGTTGGGGTTGTTCTTGGGGGTAGCACAGCTGGCCCTGAACCCTAGGGGTTATGTAGGAGTTATATAGGGCTTATGTGAATTATGTAGGGTTTAGGGTTGTATGAAAGGGTTATAGGCCATAATTTGAGGCCCCTTCATTCCTGCCCCAGAGCCAGAGGATCATTTGCGGAAACGTTTCACCTGAAAAGCCACCACGTCATCCCATGTAGCTATAAAGGCCTTTGCATAAATCAGGGGCCCCATCTTCGAAGTTCGTCGAGTAAGGAATGCACTATATGGGGCTCTCTGTTGGCCGCATTTCCCCTCGTTATGGGAACCCACATAAACTTTACACGCAATGTCACAAAGCTGTCCCTTCCGTAGCGCTGTTCACAGAACAAAACAGGTAGAATGGAAATTTGCCAGGTAGGCTCATTGCGCGGCAGCGGAACTGGAGTATCCTTGCCAGCATGCAGACAAGGTCAGCAGAGGCATTTCCCTGGACAACAAGGTGAAGGCTAAGTCCTTCAGGCAAGGTCCTGCAGACGTACCCCAGTGTTGATCCTACCAACTCTGCATGGCCTTAGCCTACTAAACCCCCATGCTTCCCAGGGATTCTGGCAACCAGGGTCATGCAACCCTAAACCCCCAAAGCTTCATCTGTCTCAGCAGAGCGCGAAAGAGCACAAAATCCAGCATGCCTTGGCTCCATCCCGAAGGGTTCATCTAGGGACATAATACATGCTTAGGGCCCAAAAGGTTTCCCACATGCCTACCTTGGGACCCAGGTATATGCTATATGGCTACATGGACCCTTTGGCCATGTGCCAAAAGCTTAGGGTTGAGGGTTTAGGGTTTAGTGTGGTTTTGGGTTTGGGGCTTTTACCCCAATGGAACATGAAATGGAAACTGAGGCTTTATAGGGCTTGGGATCTCAGACCAGCCACAAGCCCAATTGCAACACTGCAAGCTTCTCTGTAAGGCTATGACCCCCCAAATAGAGGACCAAATGGAAAACGCATTGGAATATGACGGGGAAACTGGGTTTGTATGGTGGCTTGTAGGGATTACGGTTTCCCCAAATTAGGGGTCACTTGTTTGGGGTTCCCAATAGGGTCCCCAGAATAAGTATTACAGTATGGGATCTATATGAGCTCCTTCTGTTTAGGGAAAGTACCATACATCCCTATATATTCCTAGATATCCCCTATATAGACCTTTTATATTCCTATGCAACCCCTGACCCTATATAAACCAAGTAAATCATGCACGTTGCCATTCAGCTATTGGATCCTATGGCCTTCTGGCAGATTCAGTGGATAAGCAGCCGTGAGACTATTTCCAAAGTAACTCCAGAGCCTGACATAAGGATTTGGGCCATGTCCTATATAAACTGCTATGAGGAGTGACATCGGGTGAGGTCGTCATAATTTGCCCAGTCATCATCCGATGTCGATTGTCAACAACTCGAAGGGAAGTCCGGATCCTATACTTAAACTCCGCATCAAAACCAAACTGCAGTCCAGAGGGTACTTCTCAAGAACTATCCAACCTATGTTGCCCTCTTGCAAAAAAAAACAGCTCAACAGCCACTCTTTCGAACTCGAAACCCTGAAAGACCCAGAAGTCCTTCGTCTCGGCCGCCCGTTTGGATCTATCCCTTAGCCGGAGTTGGCACTGTGCTTCACATGGATTGGGGGCAGGCCATGAGGATCCAAATAGCCGAATGTATTGACCTTAGTAATGGAGAATCGAATGGAAAAGCAAATGGACAATGAAATGCAAACTGGGAGTTTATAGTGGTGTATAGGGATCCACATAGCCCAAAGTAGGCACTGTTTGAAGAATACAGGGCCCAACATAGGCATTGTTTGAAGACTTGCATCCCAAGGGAAAGGGGAGGGCTTCGAATTCGCAAGAAAGAGCAAAGCGAAGCGGTGCGCAACCTGACATGCGAACTGAAGAACGTGGAGGGGGAGAGAAATGTAGGGAGAGAGAGAGAGAGAGAGAGGGGTATCCACATATATATGTGTATATATATAT